CTTCCGCTTGGTCGAAAGGCACTAAAAATGCGAGAGTCACGCGTACTATATATTTCGGAAATCGATAGCTCGATATCAAGAGCACCCGGTATAAGCATTAATCCTTTTCTAACGCGTATTGTACTGTCGTGCGGTATTACCTCGATATTTTTTTCTCGTCTTCGCGGTCGACGTCGATGCATTTTTATACGTCACCGAAAGATTCCGCGTACGTGTGTGCGTTTTGCAAAAAAAAGGGAGATATACTAGAAAATGAGAGATGATTTAGGACACCCTATTGAAGCATGAGCAGATATACATTGGATTAGCAGGAGATACAAATCCTTACCGATGTAATAGGATTGCTTCCTGTAAATCTCGCGCGACGAGAGAGAATCGCGAGAGGTAATAAAGGAAGAATAATCGCCGGACGCACACACATGTTGCGCAACGAAACACATCGACAAAAATCGCTACAGAGGACTGTTCGAAATATCGTAGCTCGCAATGGGAAGATTAAGGAGATTGGGAACTCGTGCGAGACGATCAAGAGTCTGACGAATCCGACGAAAGCAGGTGAAGTGTGTCTCCTCCTCCTTCAAGACTTCAAAATATTTTATTACTTCGCCGTGACTATACATGCGTCGTTTACACGTACGTGTATGCGTGCTGCGATTACACAAGTACTAACGCAGAGTTGCACATAGGTCATTACCAAGTGTTAATCGGCGTCGTGCGGGAATGCCGGCCGCGAAACCTCCACCGTATCCTACGTGCGATCACGCAAATATATATATATATATATATACACAGTATAACGCGAAACACACGTGTACATATATACAGGGTGTTTCCTAATAAGTGGGAAATATTGCAGTGGTGGATTCAAAATACAAAAGTAAGAAGAAAAGTTCATATAAACATGTCCGATATGACTTTGTTTCCGAGTTACAGCCTGTTTTATTTTCCAATATTTCCAACTTTTCCGCATACAAAAGTCTAATTCTGACTGCATTACCATCGGAAAATCCATATACGAGATGCATACCTGCCATTTTATTCTCTGACCAAGACATAATTTTTACTTTAAACGTAAAGAATTGTGTTAATAGCTCTAACGTACGATATGAATACTTTACTTTCATTGAGGACAAGATACGAACCATACCACTTATAATACAAATAACACGTGTTTTTGTTTATAAATTAGCAAGACCTCAAATGCTTCAAATTTTGCAGATAAACAACAACCGATAATCAAGTATGTTATTATATTTTAACTCTATTAGAAAATAAAACAAGGTGTAACTCGGAAATAAGATCATATCAGACATATGTTTATGTGAATTTTTTTCCTTATTTTTATATCCTGAATCCACCACTACAATATTTCCCACTTATTAGGAAACACCCTGTATATATATTATATACACACACACACATACGGCGCTGCGGATTCCTCGCGATGAGAAATCGATATTCACGCGTCGAATCCTGTCGATCGATAACGTTCTCGCAATACACTTGATATCGCGACGTTAACCGAACCTATATGGACGAGCGTAGATGGAATCCGGATTGAGGGGTTGTTTGCGTGAACGCGCAACACCACACGATTGAGCGATCGATGGAGTATCCACGATATTACATGTCGCCTCGACATGTCTGTACGACACGTATGTGTGTGTCTCCGCGGCAGGAAGAGTTCTACTTTTAACAAAACATATATTTGTTTTCGATTGATATGATCTTAGGCATTGTTTATTTTCAGTTTTTTTCATGACGTCATCGAATTGGTTATAGCAGAGAGGAAAAGAAATTGAATTTAAACTCGGAAATGTATTATGTAAAACAAAATCATTTTGTAGCAAAAAAATAGATAGATTAAAAAAGAGTCATTCTTATTGATATAATAAAGGAAAATGAAAATCATATTCTTATTAAATTAATAATATTATTAAATTATCATAAAGCATTTAAAAAAGACACGTGATTACCTTTCGAAAAAATCAGAGAGAATTAATATACATTATATATCTTCAATAACTAAGAATTTTTTTTGCGGTTATATTTTTGAATAAAAAATATTCTTCAATATCTCTGAATCTGTTTATCTCAAGAATAATTATAAGAACAATAATATTTTCCAATTAAAAGTCAAATTAAAATCAAGAGACAAACATTTCAAAATTAATGATTCTTGTAATCAAATTGTAAGGACCAATAATTGAATTATTCTCAATAAGCTTGCAGTGAGCTTGATGAGCTACAGTATTAATTATAGGAACACATACGGAGAGCCATAATTATCCCACTGTCACAATTACTGTCACGGGATTACTCCTGATTATTCATCGACTGACAGATCTCCCGGCTGCGAGATAGACGTCAATTGATAACGCGACCCTTGGACTCGACGACGAGCACCCACTTCTCGCTCGATGTTTGTGTACAGAACGGTCGAGATTCGCGAATATGTATCGATCAAGGGTACCAGGAATAGAAACGACTTTCTCGGACAAATAGTTTCGCGCGTCCGGCATTCGATCCGTTTGGAACGCTTAGAAAATTCAAGGATATTATTCAACATTGATATGTCGGCCTACGTTAGATATCGCGCGCTTTGCGTTTCGCTCGCTCGTGTCCTTCGAACGTTAGCCAATAAATTAAGCCAGGATCGGAAGGACTAAGCACACAACACATCCGGCTCGATCGATCGTGTGTCTCACTCTCGATTCTCCTCGAATACACTTGTATACGACGTTTCGATATACAGTCGCTAAATAAACATACGCCATCATTTCTCCCCGCGATTTAGGATTTAATTCAACGACTTTTAAAACACAGCAACTATATCACTGTCATTAAATATATACTCGTACACACAACTCGATAGTCAACGTATATTTAAAAAATTCCTTACTTCCGATATATAAGAGTGCTTAATTAAACGATCGTTTATCCCTTAATCCGTACATTTTGACTCGTGTTGCTCTTTCAGCAAAGATTAAAGAAATATTTCTCCAACTTTTCGATGACTTTATATATACACATATACACACACACACGCACACACACACACACACATATCCCCCTCTCATTTATACGTTTAATTAACTCGCAGTGCGCCCAATTTATACACCGTTCTCGTCCTTGATTAGACACTATTCAGAGAGAAGAAACGCGCAAATGCCGTCCTCGTCCGCGAAATAGAAGCAATAGGGTATCGATATATCACCGCTGTGGCGGTTTCATTCAGTTCGCCCTCTACATTCGTTAGAGAAACATGGAGGAAGGGGAGGAAGGAGGAGAGCCGATTCTTCGATCGATCGATCCATCACCGGCTTCCACCCCTCCCCTCCCTAACCGGTTAAAGGGTACGTTAAACGCGAAGGAGAATCCAAGGTAGACTGGCGGCGCCTTCTATTAGGATTCTCTCTATTCACCTTCCTCGGGCACTTCATTCCTTAAGTGACCTCAACAAATTGAATTACGGTGTACAACGTCGCTCTTACTCTACGGTATCCATCATCGCGCGGAAACCGCGCTAACGGCGATCGCGATCGCGAACCCGTCGTATATAACCGTCGCTCCAATTTCGGGATTCGCCTCTATCGGAGAATTAATGTGAAACCATATAACTCCTTTCTGGTCGCGCATTAAAATTTTATCGTGATACCGGATTAATCCCACGTAGGACAATCCGGGAAATCTGGGTCGCGCTTAAAAAGAGAAATAATTTCGCACACGCTTCTGTGTTGAGATAAATTCGAGATAATTAATATCAAGTACAAAGTATTCTTCAAAAGTTTGTCGAAGAAGTTGTTAAAATTGAGAGAGCCGAAGTTTGTTCTAGAATGTCTTGTATATTAAATATGAATAATTATCTCATCCTTAATTGCCGACGAGTAACGAGAAATCTTTTTACGTAATTGCTACGGCGATATCTCCGCTGATCAGATCTCGAGAAAAGTTACGTGACGATAATATAGAATTATAAGATTGCACATTAATTATTACATTCCTGCGAATTGATATAAGCCAAAGCTTTCCAAGAGTACACTGGAAATAATTATGACGTCCATTATCGAAACATTCGTCACGCACGGATTTGCATATGAAGTTATAGGATATTTAACATGATATGCATATCACATAAGGTAGCTGCGCGATACATATTGCGTATTCTTTGCCGCTCGCGTTCCCCGCTGAAACGCGAAATTCTCCCCGTCATATCGAAAACCATATCAATTTGTCGTCGCGTTACATTGTTGTGAATAAATTCGGGATAATTAATATCAAGTACAAAGTATTCTTCCAAAGTTTGTCGAAGAAGTTGTTAAAATTGAGAGACCCGAAGTTTGTTCTAGAATGTCTCCTTGTATATTAAATATGAATAATTATCTCATCCTTAATTGCCGACGAGTAACGAGAAATCTTTTTACGTAATTGCTACGGCGATATCTCCGCTGATCAGATCTCGAGAAAAGTTACGTGACGATAATATAGAATTATAAGATTGCACATTAATTATTACATTCCTCCGAATTGATATAAGCCAAAGCTTTCCAAGAGTACACTGGAAATAATTATGACGTCCATTATCGAAACATTCGTCACGCACGGATTTGCATATGAAGTTATAGGATATTTAACATGATATGCATATCACATAAGGTAGCTGCGCGATACATATTGCGTATTCTTTGCCGCTCGCGTTCCCCGCTGAAACGCGAAATTCTCCCCGTCATATCGAAAACCATATCAATTTGTCGTCGCGTTACATTGTTGTGACATTGCGTGACGTCACATACGTCGTAATCGGATTGCAGAACGCAATCAGGATTACGGCGACGTGCGGTTCTAGTCTCGAAAACCACCCAATGATAAATTAGTCCTAATTAATTTCTCGTAATTTCCGATAAAGGATACATTCAGCATCCGATTCGATGGATTTTCCATTCATATATAGTCAGCCAATCATTCAAATTTATTTTAAATTCATGGTTATTTTCTTCCCAATCAAAATAATTAAATATACGCGGAAATAATTAACAATTTAATTTTTCACACCTAGAGATAGACTTTAATAAATTACTAGTCCTTTGAGTTCTTAGCGTTACTTTGAATAGTTTGAAATATAAAATTTACAGTTGATCTTTTCACTGAAAAAGTTTGATTTCGTGTTCATTTTATTTATTTTTTTATAGTTTGTGTTAAGCATTGTAATATATTATTAGAGAGTTTGATCAAAATTTATATAGAACATATAATATATAATAAACCGCTTACAATCCATCTAAAATTAAAGTCGTTTGCAAGGTTCATGTAGGAGGTATGATTAATAATAATTACCGTCAGTGAATTATGTTACATGTGCAAAAATATTAATAATCCATTATTTATAATAGAATATTTAATGATGAATTATTATTACTACGTATGTATATGTCTCTAATTGTATATCTTATACGGTTTTCACGAACCTGTCAAAATTCATAAAAAACCTAAAGTATTGTAACATTTTCAATCAATATATTATAAATTCACACATCGATCAAAAAAATATAATTTCAAGATTTCCCTATTTCCTTCTTCTTTTGATATCTTTTCGAGTTTCTTTACAAATTACAAGTTTTTCGAAAACTCTCCGTTAAAGAGATAATCTACTAAAACTTCGAAACTAAAATCGCACGTCACGGAGAGAAAATCTCGGTTGCAGAGAGCAACGCAAAGTTAGGAGAGAAATATCAGCGCATATCTCGATGTAAAAATAGTTACGCCTCGCGGACCAGAGAATGGCACCAGCCGTTGCCAGTCGCCGGTTCTCCTCTTCATTCCCTGCCCGTTCCTTTCCGGGGATAGACCCGAAGATCGCCTAAACCGGATCCGGCGCGGGTGCGAGCAGCTGCATGCTACTGCTCGATTTCGCGATCTGCAATGTCAACGTCAGAGATCGCGCGCTATAACGCTACAATCTTTCGTGTCGAACGAAAAGTCCAAGAGCATCACACACAAAAACAACACGACAAAGACAAGAAAAAACCACTATATTATCAACAAATAAGTCTAACAGCATTTTATTAATCTTAAATTATAATATTGCTTCTTTATAAATAAAATAATAAAATAATTTTCAAGATAGAGTCGGAAATCGAGGACTAGGATTGTCTAGAACCAAAGCATTACACGAATAAGATATATAACTATGACACGTTGATACTAGAAATAAATCCAGATATCTCGACAAATCGAGAAATATAGCATCGGATAACCGAAAATATAAGGAGCAGAAGGGCGCGACAGTTTAATTTAGTCTGACCTGAAAAACGAGGACGCGTCGCAATCAACCGGATTAAATAATTTGCGCACGAGGATTTCTGACGGCGTAGAGAGACAAACTAGAAGGTCAGACGCGCATATTTTCGACTCAAGACATTTAACCGCTC